GGGTTTTTCTATTAAGTTTTGCACCTCATACGACTCACAGAATGCAACCCCGGGATATTGAGGTCTATGGGCCTTTTAAAATTTTTTGTAACATCGCTTTTAATGATTGGATGGTATCAAATCCAGGAAAAATCATAACAATAAAAAATATACCAGAATTGACACTTCGAGCATATGCAAGAGCTTTTACAAATGAAAATATTGTGAGTAGTTTTAAAAAGCCTAAGATTTGGCCATTTAACAGACTAGCTTTTAGCGATGACGATTTTGCCCCTAATTATGTAACAGATAAACCTTTCCATCCCGCAGTAAATCCACACAATCAAAACAACATATTGTGAAAGGTGAGGTGAATCTCGAATATAATGAAATAGAACATGAAGTCACTCATAGAGAAACAGAATATCATGTTGAAAGAGATAAGATCGAAAATAACAAAATAGAAGATCACGAACATCTTACAACTGAATCAAAAAAAGTAAAGAACACGATTAATATTACACATGATAATAAGAACTATGCCAACACCATCCTGCAGTAAGCATAAGAATCAAGTAAAAACCACACCAGAGTCAATTAGACCATTTCCAAAAGCCATAAGAAAACAAAAAAAAAGTAAGCGAACGCCAGGAATTTCAAGAATTTATACTGACACTCCAGAAAAAGAAAGATTGGAAAATATTGCACAAGACAAGAAAAGTAAAAAAAGAGGTGTTAAGAGAAATGTTTTTAAGAATAACATGCAGGCAAAAGAAAACAAACTCCCTAAAAAGAAATGGAAAACTGTTCTGATTCATCATCAACCGAAAATGATGCGTTATCTCTTCATGACGATTCAGGTGAAGATTTGAGTGACGAATTTGATGAAATTGAGGAAATTGATCAAAAAGATCTTAAAAAAGAAGATTTTGTTGAAGTGAGATTCATTTTTTGAAGCAAATTTTGGAAATTTTAGAAGAGGCAACAAAAATTAAATTTTTGAGAAGGAACTCAACTACTTTTGATTTTCCACAAATTGAAGACATAAGCGAAGTGGACAATGGAGACATTATCAGCAAATTGAAAACTCTAACAAAACCTGGAACAACAAGAACAGCTTCATATTTTAAGTTTAGTTACAATTTTAGCACCTTAATTGTTAACTGATTTTGTTTAGATAGGTCATTAATGTTATTTTTTCATTACATTGCGTTTTACTCTTGATATTTACTTTACTGATAAAGTACTTTTTTAAAACTTGTCCGTTTTTAATTCCTTTAAATATCCTTTTTTAACATAGTCGAATGCTCCCCTCCACCTGGTCTCCATAGTCGAATGCTCCCTAGGGTTGGGGAGCATCGACAATTTTTAAAGTTTAAGAAAAAATGTTTGCTGTTAAATGGTTTTATTTATTCTTTAATTTCAGGTTAATTATTTGAACAAAACTTTCATCTACCCATTACTGCTCTTTTATTGTAAAAATATGCATTTAACAAATTTTTATATACAAAAAACCATTTTATGTTCGAAAGCTCCCCTGCTTCCCCTACGTATGTCACAAATCACAACCATTGGTTCAATATATCATAAATCAGTGCCAATCCTTGCCTATGTTGATGATATCAATATTGTTAAGAGAACGGAAAACGCTGTAGGAGAAGCGTAAGTATGTACCTAGCAATAAAAGAATCAGCTACAAAAATGGGATTATTAGAGGTGCTTAGAAGCAAAACGCGTTAAATCCACTTTTTGTCGAAAATGAGATATTGAGCTTAACTAATTCCCCAGAGTCCATTCTATAGGTACAACACTTTATTTACCGTCAAAACGAATTAATTCCAATACATTTTAATCGACTAAAAGTTACTTTGGAAGCAAAACAGATAAAGTCCCCTCCGCTTAAAGACCAAAACAGGTAAAGTCCACCGCAACGATTCCAACGAACCACAAGCATGCTGTAGACCCACGTGAGGTGGCGCTACATTTGCAGAAGTAGATATCAGTCAGCAGTCAGTATTTTATTTTAGTATAGAGAGTACAGTCGATTTCTTTGTAAATTTTATCTGACCACGTGCTGAGAGGTGTTTTGCGGTTAATATTAATAATTGTATTGAAATTTTATCCCCGGAAATGGAACAATCCCCTGCAGTTGTGTCTCCATCTAAAGCGAGAAAGAGGAAAGGTAATCCTACTTCTACTAAGAGAGCAGTTGCAAAAAAATTAAGGTAAGTAATTTTTCTTTCTTTTTTCCATTTTTTTCTCCACTCATATGTGATACGACTTAGGCACTTAAAGTGTAATTAAAAAACATGACCCTATAGTTCGTTTATTTTACACAAAAAACAACCATTTTGTACGTTATAACTAATACTTCTTGTATATTTTAACACTTTAATTTAACATTTTGGTACAAGAAAAAATCTACAATCACAGTATTTAGTACTGACTGTCTACCGTTTATTCCGTTAAAAAAAATATAGAAAATTATATACACAATTGAGGGTTAAATACAAAACATTATAACTGTTAAACTATAGGTAATAATTTAAAATAAAATTGAAGAATGATAAACTAAAATCTGTTTTTGTTTCTAGATATTCGGCACCACATTATATGTGACATTATAATGCCAGACTGCAATCACGCTAGAAAAAGATATACAAATGTAATGAATTGACCTACAAGAATGTCACAGCATTTCGAGATGCTTTTTTTGCAACTGAAAAGAAAAGTGATCAAGATAGCTTCATTATGAAACACACAGTAGTAATTCCACGCAGTAGTCGCCAATAAAGATCAGCTGGAAACAGAAAGAAAAAAATTTCACAGGAAGATTTTTCGTAAGGAAATTGGGTGAAGGTGAAGATGTTCAAGTATGTGAACGGGCTTTTTGACTTATTCTAGGGTTGGTAACTCTAGAATACAGACTATCCTCCACAATTATGGAATCTATGGTAATGTTGCTCAGGAAAGAAGAGGTGGTGACCGCATTTCTAACAAATTCAATAAGAGACAACAAGGTGTTATAAAATACATCAGCTCTTTAAAGTGTTTAGAATCGCATTATTGTCGTAGCAACACTCGTCGAAGTTACCTTTCCTCTGATTTGAGTATAGAGAAGTTAGCAAATATGTACAACGCTTAAGCCAACGAGAACTTGAAAGTGAAAAATTCGTACTTTCGCCAGATTTTTGTGCATAAGTTTAATTTGGGCTTTGGATCATCTAGGGTCGATGTATGCTCGACGTGCCGGGAACTTTCAGAAAAAATAAAGCAAACAACCGATCCTCGTCAAACCGCAGCTTTAAAAGCTACCCAAGCTATTCACAAAAAAAGTGGCTAAAGCTTTTTTTTGCATTTCTAAAAGTACAAGAAAATGAAACTATTACGCTCTCATTCGATTGCCAGAAAAATTTGCCCAGTCCCAAAATTCCAGATCAGGAGACTTACTATCGACGTCAACTTTACCTCTTCAATTTTTCTATTGTTGTTAGTAGTTCTCAGTGCAAAATGTCTCCAAATAATTGCTTTAGCTACGTATGGACAGAAGAAACTTATCCTAAAGGTTCAAATTTGGTAGCGTCATATGTATTTCATTGTCTGCAAAACTTAGATACATCACAAATTAAGAAGATAAAACTTTTTGCAGATGGCTGCGGCGGCCAAAACAAAAATAAAACTATGATTGCTATGCTACACAGATGGCTTCTATTCGCTCCTAAGAACGTTTGAAGAGATACAATTGATATTTCCAGTACAAGGCCATTCTTTTATACCACCAGACCGTTTATTCGGTCTTTGCGAAAAAAGAGTTCAACAAAAAAGAAATTATCGAGACTCCAGATGGCTATGTTAAAATAATTGAAAAGTATGCTTCAATAAGACGACTAGGTATTGACGTAGATATTTTTGTATTGGAAGCAAGAGGCAGTAGATCATTTTAAACCTATTTCTCAATGGCACTTTAAATTTCAGCCTTTAAAACAGTTCCAATTCAAGCGAGCAGCAAAATCCCAGCACATGATTCTCATCCAAGCAAAACAGTTTTATTACCACTCCATTGGTAATTTCAAATCCATTATGAAAGGGAAAGAAAATGTTTTAAGCATTCTTCCTTCAAAAATTGCTAAGGACAATACATTAGTAAACAAGAAAAAATTATCTGATGTCAAAAGGCTTCTTGAATTGCATTTTGGGTCTGATTGGCAATCTAATCCATGTTTAAAGTTTTACGTCAATTTTTTTGCTTCTTGTGAAGGACATAGTGAAGTTGGTGCAGAAGTGGAAGAAGATTTATGTGGCATAACTGAAGAAGCACCAGAATTATGTGTCTAAAATGTTATTTTTTTCAATTTTCATTAAGAATGTAATAAAATCATCATACAATATATTTTTTACTCACTTCTTAACTAGTTGTTATTACTTTCAAATTAAAGCAAAATGAATAAACTCCATAAACTGAGATACAAAATGCAAAAAATTCAACTTTTGGGAGCAAAACAGATAAAATCCATTTTCAAAATAATAATTGAGCCGTTTAGAAATTTTTTGAGAACTCAAGATTTCTGCACAATAATTTACTCAAACATCTAAACATATTTTTACATGTGTTCAAAATAAAATATCTTAATATGAAGCGACTACCGTTTTTTGCCCTTTTCTCAAAAGTGACGTCTTTGGACTTAACGCGTTTTGCTTCTAAGTACCTCAATAATAAACACCAGCAAAACAAAGTATATGAAAATAAACACGCAACCACAAATCCTACAACCACTTATTATAGAAAAAGACTTTGGCGTCATAGAATAATTCTTAATATATTTGATGATTTGCAAACTTGACACTTTTTTGGTTGTAGATAACTTTTTACAGATAAGGTTTTTTTTTATTTCTTTTGTATTGGACGAACTGATAAAATATGTAAAAGCTACGCAATTTTATTATTATTAAGTACTATAGCAGAAAAATAAAGTATTTCAATTGCATTTTAAAATATATTCGTATTGACAAAACCTTCTTACCTTGCATGCTTAAGAGGTTTGAATTCTTGGAACGGCAACTCGAATAAGTTTGCCTGATCTTGCAACGTATCTCTCTCGTTTTCCAAACCACTCAGTTGTTTATTCATCTTATCCAACAAGTCGTAAACATTTTTACAATTCCATTTATAAAAAGATAACTTTTTGAAATGTTCACGAAACATCGACTGTCTGATCTCAAACAAGTTGATTCTTCGTTTGATAGATACGACTTGTAGGGTTTGAAGTGGAGCAACGTTTTGTTTGGTCACTGCGGCAACCTAAACAAAATTGTATCTTTTGTAAACTGTAAGCGGAACCTTAATTAATACGAAATAAACTTATACAGTATTCAAAAATGAACAAGAGTGGCCATAATTTGTTTTTGGCATTAAGTATAAGGATAAAGATGAGATTTCATCTTTAAGCATTTGTCAGTGATAAATTTTCAATTTAATAATAATTTCGCAATTGGCGGTTAATATGTTTTTTATTTTTTGGATAACTGAGAAAGTTCCCTTAATAAATATATTTTAGGGACCTTTTTTAAAAACAAATGTTTATTTTTATTTTGAATTGCATATTAATCCTTTCAGTCCCAGAGGTACTGAGAAAGAGGTCCATCCGGAACCATCCTTATATATTCTAGATATTGATATCATAGTAATAATACTTTTTTAATACGAGGGTGGATTGATATAAAACTAGCCTTTGATATAAAAAACAAGTTTTTTGGAATAAAATCGATTTGTGTCTCAACATAGTCCCCTTTTAGTTCGATACACTTAAGACGATGTTCCAATTTTTTTATTCCATCCGAATAGTACTTTTGCTCAAGCTCTTCAAAATAGGCCGAAGTTTTAGCGAAGACTTTATTATTTGTTGCGAAAGGGCGTCCTCCGAGCCACTTTTTTAAAATTTGGAAACAGGAAAAAATCGCTGGCAGCAAGATCTGGGGAATACGGTGGATGTTCAATCAATTCATAGCCCAATTCGTGTATGTTGCCATGGCGACGGCCGATCGTTGAGTCGGTGCATTGTCTTGATGAAAGAGCACTTTTTTGCGTTTCAAACCAGTGCGCCTTCGATGCAATTCGGCATCGAATCGATCCAATAATGTTATGTAGTACTCATCATTGATTGTTTTTCCTTTTTCCAAGTAATCGATGTGGATGATGCCCTTCGCATCCCAGAAAACAGTCGCCATCACTTTTCCGGTCGAATGTGCACTCTTCTTCTTCTTCGGCGCCATTCGCTGCGTTCGCGCCACTTTTTCGACTGTTGTTTGGTTTCCGGTGTGTATTAATGCACCCAGGTTTCATCAACGGTGATAAATCGGCGAAAAAAAATCATTCGGATCGCGCCGTATCATCGCCAAAAGTGTCTCCGAAGTGGTCACACGTTTTTGCATTTGATCGATTGTCAGCAAACCCGGCACCAATCGCGCGGATAGCTATTTAATGTCCAAATGATGGTGAATGATGTTGTATACGCGTCCGTAGGAAATGTTTAGGACATCTAATAACTCGCGGAGCTTAATTCGACGATCTGCCATAATCATGTCAAATATACAGAGCAAATAAACAAGGTACAATGAAAGAAAAGAATGACTTAAGATTTATTCAGAACCTCTACTTGAATCAAACAACATCGTTAGAAGTGGGGATTTAAACTACACATGAACTAATATTATTTTAGTAGCTAATACCGAATCTGAACCAGCAGCCTCATCATCTTCGATAGTTGACCTAGGTACAATTAAACTTTATAGAAAATTTTACAACCAACCACATTAATGGTCAAATAGTATAGGAAACTTATCGTTTTTAATTAGAATCTACAGTTAGAGTAAATAACTGGACTGAGAAAAAATACCGTTCTTTTTGGTAGTGTCGCTTCGAGGACAGCTGCAACTCTATTGCAATTTCTACTTCGAATACACCTAGTTATATCTCTCATTCAAGCTTTAGAAAAAAGATATGGCCCGCAGCATCTAAAGCAGGTTTTCCAAAGTCAGCTGAAAGATCGATATCAAAAACATAACAAAATCCTGCAAGAATTTAAAGCTGACATTAAAAGAATATTCTATTTGACGTTGACGTCCCCTCAGTCCACCTAGGATTTTCTGGAAGAAATTGATATATAGTAATTCACATATGAACTTCTTCTTCTTTAAGTGCCATCCCCGCAGCGGAGGTCGGCAATCATCATAGCTATTCGGAGTTTTGAGACGGCTGCTCTGAAAAGTTTATTTGATGTACATCCGTACCACTCTCTCAGGTTGCGCAGCCATGACATTCTACGCCTCACTATGCAGATGAACTACAGGATGTTAAAATGCAATAATCATGAAACGCTAAATCTTTTTCTTATTCTTCTTTTTCCTCTTTATGAGAAATTATGCTTGTTCATTGCCAGATTTATACCAATATGGAAGATTGTCAGTCAATTTTGCGCGGTCGTCCCATACTTCTTTTGCCGATTGGTGTTGTTATTTTGGCGATACGGATCTTCTTTATTCTGCTTATGTAATTATTCCATTATTTTTTTCTGTTTAGTGTCCACTCTTAGAAGAAAATGTAACTGTACGTTACATTTTTTTTTAATGTCTACTTTTTTTTCAATAGCTCAGTAACTCTTCTCAGTACTCTTATCTCTGCTGTTTCCAATAGCCTTTGTGTTTTGGTTGTGTCGAGTCTTATTTCTACAGCACATGTCATTATTGGTCTTACAATCTTCTTCTTAAAGTGCCTATCCGTTCCGGATGTTGGCGATCATCACGGCTATCTTTACTTTGTTTACTGCAGCACGGAACAGTTCAGTGGTAGTCGTGTTATAACACTCGTAAATTTTGAAGCCAAAAAATGCGTCTTCTTCCCAGTCCTCTCTTACCATTTACCTCCCTTGGAGAATCAGCTGGTCTTACAATGGCTTTATAAATTCTTGACTTCATCTGTGTTAATGTGTCTGTTTTATCAAATAGTGTTAATAAGGCATCCTGCCAGTCTATTTGCTTTTTATACTTGATCTCTCACTTCTTTGTCCAGGTCTCCATAGCTGGACAGTGTAATTCACAGGTATTTTATTTCCATTACTTGTTGCACATCAATACTGATGCCATCAATTTCTATTTTACATCTGGTTGGTTCTTAACTGACTACTATTGTTTTAATTTGCTGAGATGAGATTGTTCATATTAAATTATTTTTACTCTTATGTTAAATCTGTGGACCAGTCTTTGCAGACTATCTTCATCTTGGGCTATCAATATTGTTTTCCATTCTGTATCCTCTTCCTTTGTTAATGCTTTTGGAGCACTAATCTCAGTCTAGGAGTATGAATCGGTAAAAATATATACGGTATGGCTAGATCTTGCTAAAAAATAAAAAATAATAATATTTCGAGAAAATGAGGAAGACTACCGCAAATAACCAACAGCCTATTTTATCATAAATTTTAAGCACGCAGCAAAATCTTCAACAAAAAACTCAAAATAAAATACAGAAAATTTTTTAATTGTGGAAGAATAGAAAATTCACAAAATAATTGCAGAATTGCAATTGAATATAAATATATATGTATAGAGAGAGAGAGAGAGATAGGAAGAAATTTATCTTACTTTTTTACACTGATTCCATCTATCTGGAATCTCCTGTAGCTGAACGTGGATTTCCTCTGGGAATTCGAATCCATACTGCTTAAGAAGATCCATTATTTCTTTCAATGGTTCGAACATTGCGTCAGTTTCTGGTTGTTTCTCTTTAACTTTAAAAAGATACTGCATTACATGTATTAAACCATCATAGTCGTCTTCAGTTAATGTAACCTAAAAAAGAAAAAACATATTGTGTATAACTATTAATACAACAAACAAAATAAAAGAAAACAACGATGTACAAAATTGGCTTATTTCTAGTATACGTATATATTTATATTTTAGTGATACTTCTTGAAGGCACTTAATATAGAGGAAGATGAAGGAAACCTGAAAGATGAAAAAGATGAGGTAACGGAAACAGACGTGTCAGAGGAACCACCAACGATTCTTGAAGTTAAAGATTCAGTTAAAAAACCCAGAAAAAAAATCACCCGGAATAGATAATCTCCCAGCTGAGCTATGTAGAGAGGGTGGCTATGATACCATAATGGCATTACAGCACTTTATAAAAGAAATATGGACACAGCAATCCCTCCCCAATGAATAGAATATTGGAAAACTTTGCACCATACACAAAAAGGAGGTATCTTTGAATGCTCTAACGACAGAAGAATTATTACTCTTTTAAATCCAGCATGTAAAATATTTTCCACAGTACTATATTACCGTATAGCACTATATTCAGAACGGGTAGTAAGAAAATACCAGGCTGGTTTCAAAGGTGTTAAATCGATAATTCATCCGATTGCAACCCTGACACAAGTTTTAGAAAAAAAACAGTAGAATATGGCATTGATACTCATCCCATATTTACATACTACAAAGCAGCCTATGACTCTATGAATAGAAGAGAAATGTACAAAGAAATGAAAGAGCTTGGAATACGAAATTAGTTGGTAAATTTAACAAAACTAACTCTTGAAAAATTTAATGTAGAGTAAGAATTCAGGGAGAACTGTCTGAACCCTTTAAAACAAATAACGGTCTGCGCCAGGTAGACCCTCTTTCTAGTATACTGTTCAATCTGGCTCTGGAAAAAGTAATACGTGTGTCACAAATCACAACCACTGGTTCAATATATAATAAATCAGTGCAAATCCTGGCCTATGCTGATGATATTAATATTGTTAGGAGAACGGAAAACGCTGTACGAGAGGCTTATGTAGCATTAAAAGAGGCAAAAAAGGTAGGATTAATAATAAACACCAACAAAACGATGTATTTGAAAAAAAAACATGCAACCACAAATACTATGACCACTTGTTATTAAAAACGACGTCATCGAAAAAGTGAACGAATTTGTATACCTGGAAGCGCCTTTTAACACTGAAAATAATACTACCGCAGAGATAAACCGCAGAATTTGCACGACCAGCAGATACTATTTTGGGCTCAATCTCCTCTTAGGAGATTAGAAGAGATTGAGCCGAATGGGACTGGCTCAAGTCCACAATTATATCGAGAAATACAAAAATAAAACTCAACAAAACAATAATACGTCTAGTTCTAACATATGGTTCAGATACCTGGATTCTAACAAAAAATAATGAAAACATGTTTAGGATGTTTCGAAAGAAAATAACTAAGGCGAATCTATGGAGCAGTGAATGACAATTTTGTGTGAAGAAGACGATACAACATCGAACTTCATAGAATATACTAGGAACCTGATATCATAAAATATGTTAAGATACGACATCTGAGGTGGATAGGGCATGTAATGCAGATGGAACAAAATAACCCAGCTAAGAAAACGCTACTTGATAGACCCATTGGTCAGAGAAGAAGAGGAAGACCCAGAATAAGGTTCCCTAATAACATCGATGAAGTCATAAGAAATATGGAAATACGTGGTTGGTGGAGGAAAGCGATGGATAGGGACGACTGGAAAGAAATTCTTGAGGAGGCTAGGACCCACGCGAGTTGCAAAGCCACAATGATGATGATGATACTCCATGAAGTACAATACTAAAATACGCTACTCATAACCTAGCAGAACACTGTGGTATATCATAAATATTTTTTTTTAATTCTGCTAGCTTGAATATTAAGTTAGCGAAACGCTCCCATTAGGGGTAGGTATAACGGTGAAAAATTATTAGGGTGGTATAAATTAGTGAAAAATAGGTGAAAAAATATGTCATGGGCAAAAAGTTATTTTTTTGTATTCTGCTAGCTTGAACCTTATGCCAGCAGAGTATCGCTCCCCTTAAGAATAGTTTGGTGGTGAAAAATTATTAGCGTGATAATTTTTCGACTGTTCTAACAACCATTCAAATTTCGTCATTTTGTGTCATGTGGAACAATTTCACCCAATCATGTCAACATTAGACTGATAATTGCATTTAGTGCAATTTTCAATCCCTATGACAACACGATCGAGTTTGACAACTTCATATTCTATAAAACCATACTTGAATCTCGATCAAGAACACCACAACAAGATTATAAATATTATGGGTGGTAATAGATCTTCTATAGTAGAGAACAGCAACGAATCTAATGTTAACTTAAATTTTAATAATTGTACTTTCACTAACTGTACTTTTAATAAATAAATGTTTCGTTATGATTTTTTTTTTCGAAAAATTATCCGCCGAATATCCCTCGAACATTGATGAATGCCTCATAATTTCATGACAAATTTCTCAAGCTCGTTGCTTCTCAACTCAGCCTTCGGCTTCGTGCTGTTACCAAGGAACGAGCTTTCGATTGTCATGAAATTATCTCGTCTGTTATCAATGTCCTAGGGATATTACTACTGATAATAAATTAGTAAAAAATGGGTCAAAAGATATGGTGTAGGTTAAATTGGATTCCGCTATGTCCCCGCTACCTTAAGGGCCCTTTGAAGTGTCAGTTGTGTGAGTTTTTAAAGCATGCGTCGATAGATTATAATTATACTACTTATCAAACCCCGCCCTATTTCTATTTTACTTTATCTTCGATAAATCGATTTCTAACAGCTAGCAACTTTAATTTTTGGCCAGGTAACCAGGTTTTTTCTCAGGTAACCTTAAATTATCATATTATGAAAAAAATTAGCTTTAATTTAATATAAAAAACATGCATATACGTCATAAACAGTGTATTATATTTATTTAAAAAATAAATGAACGAAATAAAATATTTATTAAAATCTAATCAATCTAAATTAAATAAAAATATTTGCGGTCAGTTTTTGGCCGGCAACTTATTATCAATATATTCTCCTAATTTAAAATGTGTGTAAAATTGTGAGTTTGATGAACTATGTTATGAACGTAGTGATCCTGCAGTAGGATCTTGTAGTATTATTATAATATTTGGTGAATATACTTTCAATATTTTTCGGAAACACCCATTTAGAAATATTTAGTGTTTATACTAGTTACGACACCTATTTCATAATAGTTTTAACACCATTATTCATCCTCTGTGGCTACTTTTAGCACAGGGGCTATTATATTGGGCATTAAGGCAGTAAAATTTTACACGGTATGAAGTATCACGGTATGAAGATAACAAAATCCTGGAAAGGGTGGAACACTTTAGATATCTGGGTAGCTAGATTGACTGCAGGGTTGAAAGTGACGAGGAAATTTCGACCAGAATAGAACTCGCACGGAAAAACTTTATTAACTGGTGTTCTGTATTATGCAGTAGAAGTCTGTCGTTGACCACACGTCTAAGAGTATTGAAGTGCTACGTCTGCTCCACTTTGTTCTATGGATCTGAAACCTGGACAACAAAAATAAAAAATCTTAACAAATTAGAAGCATTTGAGTTATGGTGTTACCGTGGCATGCTCAGAATCCCGTGGACAGCACACATATCTGACGAACGTGTGCTAAAGACCGTGCACAAAGAGCGAGAATTGATCAACATCAAAATGAGAGAGGTCCAATACTTCGGTCATATAATGAGAGGACCTAAATATCGCTTACTCCGGTTAATCATTGAGAGCAAAATCAAAGGAAAACGTTGGGTCAGAAGAAAACAACTGTCCTGGCTGCGTAACATTAGACAATAAACAGGTCGAACGGTCGAGGAACTGTTTCATCTAGCTGTCGACCAAGAATCATTTCATCAGCTTGTCAATATAACGATAGCCAACGCTTGAATACAAGCACGGCACACAAAGAAGAAGATGAAGTGTCCACTTAATTTTATTTTATATTTATACTGAGGAGTTAAGGATGAAAAGATCAATGCTCGGGGTGAGACTTATAGACAAAAAAACAAACAAATGGATTAGAAGCAACTCTAAAGTAAAATACGCAAGAGAACATGCTGCCAAATTAAAATTCGAGCTTAGCAGGACACAATTCTCGACTGAGGGATAAGAGATGAAACTATGAAATACAACAATGGAGACCATAGTTACGAAAGAAAAGCAGATTAAGACCACAAATGAGATAGGCGGATGCTATTAAGAAGATCGGAGAACACAATTGGAAGCAAGTGGCGTAAAATAGAAGACACTGGATTGATTTGGAGGAGGCCTATGTCCAAAGTTGGATTACTTAAGGCGGCATAAGAAGAAGAGACTAAGGAGTTAAAACATAGTTGATATAGGATTATTAAAATTGTAGATGAATCAAGAACAAAGAAAAAGAATTACTGTTGGCCCATTTACATAGACAATATTCAAGATTATTTTCAGTACAAATTAAAATCAGATTGCTCAATATTCACAGCTGAATTGGTAGCCATTGTCAAGGCGTTAGATTGGATAATTAATAGCACATTATATTTCGAACGATATATAATTTTATCTGACTCTCAGTCTGTCCTCCTCGCATTAAGACACTTCTCTAAACACATATATACCAACAGACTAATTGTAGATGCGCTTGAAAAGCTAAGAATCTTAACTTCTCTAAAAAGAATTGTTAACTTTGTGTGGATTAAAGGTCACTCTAATATTTTAGATAATGAAAAAGTAGACCATTTGGCTAAAGACGCTACTTTAGTGGGTATAGAGTACAACGAGTTGCCCAAATGGGATATAGTTTCAGCTAGGAAGAAATATGTTAGACATAATTGGGAAATTGAGTGGCAATCCTTTACTAACAATAGGAAAAATACATACTGCAGTATATATCCAACTCTTCCATCTACTCCTCTAAGTGAAAGAAGTCCCATCTCTCGGAAAATTTAGACTATGTACGTTAGATGCCTTTTTGGACATGCTACAGTAAATGCTTACTTATATAAAATAAAACTTTTCGAAACTGATATATGTGAATGTAATGGCAGTTATGACGATCTTAACCACTGGATGTTTCAATGTCGGTATAATCAAGAAGCCATAAAATTTTTATTTCAAGCCATCTCTTAAGAAAAAATCATTTTGCCGCAGAACGTTGCTTCTATTCTGTATTTAGGTAGTCGAAGTTCAACTATAAGATCATCAATTTTATGGGAATTTTTCAAAGTACCAAACGAAAAATCTAAACTGCCCTGTTCAGTGTTGTTGTGTGAATCCGAAATGGTAGGACGTTAGTTGTTGTATTTCCCATTGTCTTTCCTTTTATGTCTTTTACCTTTAACCGTTGCCTGTATTGTTTGTGTTACAAAAAAGTCGCTATGAAGGGCACCTTAGCGTGAAGCGTGTGTTCCTATTCAATATTTTTTGTATAGTCACACAATAGTGTTTTTAATGGAAAGGTTAGGAAATTGAGTGAATGTGGTGCGAACGAACGAACGGTTAGGAAATTGTTATGAATTTGAAGGAAGTGTAGGAGATTGTTTTTATGTATTCTATATTCTTATACCTATATTGTCTGGCTAAATAGGTCTTGTACCTAAGGCCAAAAAAACAAAAAAAAACAAAAATTACTGTTGGCCATCAAAGATCGAAAACTATAATATTTTGGACGTGTTAAGCAGGAAGATAAATATCAACTTCTACGAAACATAATCCATTGAAAAATGTAAAAAGAATAGATATCGGAAAAAGAAAAATGTCTTGGATACGAAATTTAATAAGCGGTTTGGTTGTAACTCTAATCAACTATTCCGTTGATTGGCAATTGGCAAAATTGGCAAAATATTGAAGTGTAATTGATAAAAATAATTTTAAAAAAGTAACTTTTCGCGAATTACCTGCATAGCTGCGATGGCTTCTACTATAAATGTTTCCAATTCATTTAAACTGTTTATGACTTTGTTGTATAAATGGTTTTTAAACAGCATTCCCCACTTACAAATCGTGTTTAAAATCGCTTGACGTAGAGGTTTTATATCTAATCGTAACCACCCTAAAATAAGTTGAAAATTATATTAATCAATTAAGTAAATTTGTTAATATGGATTGTATAATATTAAAAAAAATACAGATTGGAACTAATTACAGATTTTAATGTTTTTGGGCCTAAGTAGGAACATGTTAAAAGTTGAGCTCTTACTAAAGGTGGAGTTTCAGTAGTATAAACAAGTAGAAAATAATTAAAACTAACCTAATAATAATAGTAGAGGATCCGATATAACAAAGACCTTCACCAATCTGTTTATTGATAACCTGATATAGTTTTGTCCAGACTATAATTAATTTTATTAATTAAAAAATGTTTTGTGTGTGTGTGTGTGTGTGTGTGTGTGTTTTTAGCATGATATTTTGATTTTTTTATATCTATTACTGTTGCATGTAAATGGCAATATTTATTTCTTTTAAATATTCAATTAGTAATTAAATTATTTTCATATCATGAAAACTTAGTAAATGCCTTATACTAATTCGAAACATACTTGTTTTTGTTTTAGACTGTAATATCTACATGTCCTCCGTTAATTTTATGGAAAATATGATAAATTTTACTAGTGAGTTTAATAAAAAATTTAACACTAATAATAGGTGCAAAGTATGAATACTCAGCCACAGCATGAGGACAAAAATATGTCCTCACGTAAAAAAATAACAGGACCTGTTAAAGAAAATATTGGATTCACAACGATTCACGGATCAAAGATGATACTTCACACTCTTTGCATATATATATATATATATATATATATATATATATATATATATATATATATACACTTCATCTAATTTATATAACGATTCACGTCATCGGCGTCATAGCCTGTGACGTCACATGATACCAACCCGAAATATTAAGGTATAGGTGTGTTCTTTTTTAGAATTACTTTACCGAGTACACTGGCATTACAGCCACTAGACATATTTTATTATATATGCGTAGAAATATTATTTAAAAATATCTATTAATATTAACTTAAAGAAATACACAATAATATGTTTCATTTAATTCGTATAAATGCAATATAAAGCATTTTTATCAAGAACATTTGTTCGGAACACACTGTAACTGTAATCGAACGAAGGTGAAACTTTGGCATAAATTGGTAACACTTATTTGACAGTTGCGCTATTGACACTTTTTGTACATTATTATTTTGAATTTTAAAGTGAATATCTCTTTTTTTATATTTTAACTATTTAATAAAATCTGTTCTTTTTAGAACAAAATTAGTGTGTTTTATTTCAAAAATGTCACGTAAGAATTTAAATAGTCGTTGTAAAAAGATGGTAATACTTTTGCAATAATTATGTGATCTATTTGATTTAAAATGGAGTCAGGATTTTTTTATACTTTGGCAACTATGTCAACTTCGATCTCTGACGTAGATAATGACGTTAAAGTCGTTATCTAAATTAGATGAAGTATATATAAAGGATTTCCACAGTTTTCACTGTATTCCTTCACTCAACCGTTTTCTCCAATTTTTCCTGTTTAGCCAGTCCCCTTCCTGTAGGTTTCTTCTTCTCATTGCTTCGTCCACTTCATCTCTGAAAGATCTTCGGGGTCTGCGTCTCTTTCTTCTTCCTATCAGGCTCCACTCTGTTATTCTATTTATCCACCGATTTTGGTCTGCTCTTCTGACATGTCCGTACTAGGTTAACCTCTTCTGTTCGATGTAGTCTATTATGTCGGAGTTCATTCCCATTCTCCTCTTAATCTCCATGTTATTTATTCTATCTCTTCTTGTTACTCTGCAGCTTCTCCTTAAGAATTTCATTTCTGTTGCTCTTATTTTGTTTTTGGTTTTCTTATTTATTGTCCAATTTTCACACCCATAAGTAAGGATACTTCTTGTCATTGTATTATATATTTTTTTCTTTGTTTTTATGCTGATGTTCTTATCCCATAGTACCGGGTTAAATTTTCATATGCAGTCTTTTGTTTGTACTAATCTATTTTTTATATCTTCCTCCGTTGTTCCTTTGTTAGATAGTATGAAACCTAAATACTTATACTTGTCTGTACATTTGATTTGTTTACCTTCGTCTATTTCCAGCTGTTTTATTTCTATATTCTCCGTTGTTAGGTATTCAGTTTTCTTTAGGTTTATTTACATCCCATTCTTTATATATTCCTGCTCCAGTTTTCTCATCATAAAACTGAGGTCATCCTTATCTTGTGCGATCACTATTTGGTCGTCAGCAAAACTTAGCGTATATTCGTTCCTTACTGGTATACCCATTCCTTCGCACGTTCTTTTCCATGGTTTCAGGGTTTTTTTCAGGAATATTTTGAACAGGGTGGAGGATGTGGAGCAACCCTGTAGTAGTCCCTTTGTCGTCTTAAATGGAATGCATATTCTATTGCCCGTTTTGATAGCTACTTCGCTATTCTTGTAGAGTGCTTTTACCGCGTTTATTAATCTTCGTGGAACTTCGACATCTTCCATTGCTTCCCATAGCTTGGTTCTAGGTATTGAGTCATATGCCTTCTTAAGATCAACAAAAGCCAGATGGACGGATCTATTTTTGGCCATTCTTTTTTCTATTAGTTGTTCGACCGTGTAGATGTGATCTAAGCATGCTTTCCCCGCTGTGAAACCTGCCTGGTCTTGTCCGATTTTATCTTGTATATATATTTCTAATTTTTTCATTATGGTCTTTCCATACAGTCTGCCTATAGACGATATAATGCTGATTCCCCGATAGTTTTCGCAGTTTTTTCTATTTCCTTTCTTGTATATTGATGTCATATATGCTTGGGTCCATTCTGCCGGTAAGTCTTCTTCATTCAGTGCTCTCTCAAACATTTTGTGTATCATACGGAATAACTTTTTCGATCCGTTTTTTATCAATTCATTTGGTATTCCGCCGGGACCTTCTGCTTTTTGTTCTTTAGAGTTTTGATCGATATTTTTACCTCAGCTAGGCTTAATTCGATTTCGTCATGTGTGTAGATTTCTATTCCATCTATTTCTGATTCTTTGAATTCGGGGCGGTCTTCGGTTAGCAATTTTTTATAGTATTCTTGCCATTCGTTTTCTTTGATTTGACCGATCTTGATTTTCTCTGTCTTATTTCTTTGGAGCGACTTTAAGATGCGCCATGACTCTGAAATTCTCGTTTTGCAAACACTCTTTGCAAAAAAGTAAAATTCAAAAGAACACAAAAATCTTGGATAGTGTTATAAAGAGAATAAAAAAAACGATTAATCCATTTGGTGATCCAATTGGTCACCAAGAATTGTTTAATATTTAGACTGACAAACTACATCTAAAGAAGTTGCAGATTACCTGCTAAACGTCAAAGAAACTGATAGTCAATAAAAATTAGAGATTATTTCAAATTGAGGAGCTCGCGTGCAAAACCGGATATATCCACTTTTTAAACAAAATCATGTTTTGGTGGTTTCTGGGTCTAATCCATGATATCTATAGGTCTACATATATTGATTTGCAACCAAAACCGCATGAATCCCTCCAAAATCTTTAATTAAAGTTCGACCTTTGGAGCAAAACTGGTTATATCCAAATTTTCTAAGCAAAAGCGGATATATCCAAATAAACAAGTATGTGCGTATTCTGTTGAAATTTTTAGTTCGTTACTGACATTGGTTATGATCACACGTGCTTTTAATCGTGCTTAATAAAAGTAGTGTGTTTAAGTTTTACGTTAAAAATTGTATGTTATGGAGGACGATATTAGTGTCAGTGAAGGAAGTGATGGAAGCAGGAAAAGAGAAAGATGCGAGAACAAAAGGGAAGCGAGTAATAAGCAAAAGTAAGGTTAGGTATTATTTTAAAATTGCGATTTTACTAATTTTTTTGTAATTTTAAGTATTTAGATCCCGACCCTAGATTAGAAGGTTTTACACGTCCTTGTAGTCATGATGGAAAATCATATGAATGCTACAAAGTGAGTACGCAAGATATTATAAGTCTTAGAAAACAGTCTTATAGTTTTATAGACCTCTTTACCTGTAGTGTAAGGGATATTAAAAAATGTTATGAATAGATAAGTAATGGACTCAATTTTTAAAATTTTATTAACTTGTGTCCTTTTTTAATGTGCTTTACTTTCTGTGTTTTTATTTTGTACTTGTGTGTATATTGTATTTTTTGTGTGTATATTGTTATACCAAGTAATCAGCACTCTTACATGTAATTACTACCTAGGTGGTGTTTGTAAGTTTTAATAAATAAATTAATAGTAACGAGGAGAAAATCCGCCATGATATGTTTTTAGGTAAATATATGTCTGTTGTGCCAGTTAAACGACACAGACAAAATAAAGAAATAAAAGAAAGGAACGCAACAGTTTGTTACATGTTAAAGTCTGATAAAAATATGGTTAGGGTTTGCAAAACTCTTTTCTCTGCTGTTTTTGGCGTAACTAAATACAGACTTGTCACTGTTACAAAGATTTTGGAGAAAGGAGGTGTTCCGAAGGAAAAAAGGGGAGGTGATAGAGTGTCTAAGAAAACTGCATCAAAAAAAGAAAAAGTATGACAATGTATTGGTTCTTTGCGTGGTAAAGAAAGACACTACAATAGAAAAAAATCGAATCGTACAGGCAATGTAATCCTAAAGATCAAGTAACCTACAATATCTTCAGAAATATAGTTTTAAATTATTTTAATGTCGGCTTCTCATCCCCTGCGTCAGATGTGTGTTTTAAGTGCACCAGGTTAAAAGAGCAATTAAGACACACAAGAGACCTACAGCGAAGACAAAACCTCATTATGGAGTACCGCATCCATAGAAAAAGGGCAAACATTTTCTATGAACTCGCCCAAGAAAAACCTGGTAATAGCATGACCTTTTGTTTCGACCTTCAGCAAGTTCAACCGCTACCCCGAACACCAATTGGGGATGCATTTTATTCTCATCAAATTAGTTGGTATGCTTTTTGCTGCGTTCCTATGACGTCTCGTAATCCGATATTCTATGTCTGGACCGAAGATTTGGCTGGAAAAGGAGCCATTCAAATTGGTTCTGCTTTATTTCGTCATCTTCAAAGTTTGAATTATGAAGGAGTACATCTTCTCAGACTATTCTGTGATGGATGTGGAGGGCAGAATAGGAATTCACATATCATTCACACCCTAATATATTGGCTTAAAAACCAGTCTCCAGATAATTTGACAGAAATAATAATAACATTTTCAGTCCGAGGGCCTAGCTTTCTACCTGC